AATGACAAGGGGAGGAATCACTTCTCTGTGGCAGGGACGGCGATGATCTTTTTCCATATTTTAAGACTGGTAGATTTCCTTTTACGCACAATGCAAATCAGTCTTGATCAAGTACTCTTTTCTCCTTAGATCAAAAGAAAGATCAAAAACAAATTTATGGCTCCATTTTAACAGCGGTGTAAGGCCGATGACTTGAACATCTACATTCAACACTCCTACTCTAGTGGCATTCTTCCTGGTCCTGTATGTTTGCTTGTTTGAATGTTCAGTATTATGGCATACTTTCAATAAGCTAAGCAACATTGAATGCTATTACGGGATTGCACCTTCTCCCTCTCCATGTACTTAACACTCTTAAACACCTCGCTGAGACGGAGTATTTTAGGGAAGAAGATGGAAGAACAGGCCAGAGCTTAGAGTTCTTTACAACGTGGCAACCTGGACACAAACCTGACCAGATGAGCAACAGCCCTCAGACACAAATTCTGTGGATCTGCTCCTTCAATTCAAAAACAGAGAGGTGCAGTGAAGTTTATCAATCTCCCCAGAGATGGCATCTGGGACTAAGAGTCCTACCAGAAAACATAAAATTGAGTGTGAAAAATAGCCCAACACATTCAGGTCCCTATGATCAAAGACCCGTGTGTGTGAAGGAGATGAGACTAATCAGCACAGAAGACGGCAGTATCACGGCCTCTGCCACTGAGGAAGTCACTTGGGAAATCACCTGAGTGACTAAAAGTTAGTATCAGAGGGAAATCAAGTGCAGAATGCTGTCAGCCTTCCAATAAGAAGGCAAAAAATGGGGCGAGGTACCAAATCTGACAGCTCAAAGGCATGCCCTGGCCCTGTTCCGTTCCCCTGTGCTCGTTTCCTTTAGTTACTGGGAGACCCCGAGGACTTCCCTGCCCCACTGTTCCCTCAGCCTATTCTTCTTCAGTAGTGGGCTCTTTTCTCCTTCGCATTCCAGGAGAGGCCTTCCCTACGTGCTCCGAGTGTCTTTCCTGGGTGGTACTCACTATAGCTCACAACTTACTTTTGGCTGTTTTTGAAGCACGAAGACAGGGGAACAAAGCAGGTCCCTATTATATAGAATATAAGCTCTGTGAGGGCTACAGCACATCTGTCATGTTCAGCACTTAAAGTTGTATTGGGAATAAAAAGATACTAAGTAATAATGACATTTAATGAATATAGTATATTGGGTTGTCAAAAAAGTCATATTTTTTTTCTATGAAAAAATGGTCATGACTTTTCCAACAACCCAATATAAAGCATCCTCTAAGCACTTCTAAATGACCCCACGCTCAAAAATTCAAGCTGCTCATGGAATCAGCAGAATTAACAAGAAAAATAGTAACAGGAACAACTGCATTAATACCAAAGAGCCACCGGGTTCTCCCCAATCTTCGCGACCCTCCAAGGTAAGGATAATGGTCCCTGTAGCTGAGAACACAGTGACTCAAGAAGATGAACGAACACACTCAAGACTATATCGCTGGTGGCTATGATCTTAAAAGTTGATCTGACTCCAAAACCCAAACCCACATCACTGAGCCACCTGTCACCGGTAGTTACTGCTGTCCATGAGGTCCACCAACAGGCCTACACAGCCCTGAGGTGAAGGTGGTCACTAAGTCTGCAATACTAAGTCTGCAATGAGCGACAAGTCAGCCTCGAGCCTGGAGGGCTCACGGAACTCTACATCTCAGCAGAACCAAAGGCTGAGAGCCAGTGACCACTAGCTGAAAGTGGCTTGGGCACTCGCGGCTACTCAAAGGCATCACTGCTGTTTTAAAAAGTAAGAAGAGGAAAAAAAGAGAGAGAAAATAAAGGGGAAAAAGAAACCAAGGACTCACATATGGGCATGTTTGAGAATTTCTTTTTGAAAAAAGTGCAATTCTAGGGAATAATTAACACCGATCGAGTGTCAGGTAAAGTAGGTTAAGTATTTTACTATTACATCACTTTATTTTTATAACTCCTTACTTAGGGTTCAGAACAGAGAGCTTTGGGGAAGTGAATTATCTTGTCCAAGGACACCTAGCTATGGGGGACACGACAGGACTTGGCCCAGCTATCTGGGAGGCTTTCGTCTCCTACAACACTGTCGCTCCAAACCTGTCTGCGTGTGCTTATCGATGAATGTGCTGATGCCAGTGAGGCCCCCAAAATCACCCCAAAGGAAAGTGAGTGTACAATTCTAGGAGATGAAGGAATTTCTAAAGGAATAGTACAACAAAATGCTAAAAGAAAAGAACACTATTTCTCTATGTGACTCTACCTGATAACCTCCCAGTGGCATTGACTCTGCAGATAAACGGGGGCCAGCTTCTATTGTATTAACAAAGCTGATTTCTAATAACCATGTTACCAACTTTGATTAAATGGTAAGGCAAACCGCTGCCTTTTGAGTAAGGAACAGGGAGCAGCAAACACCACTTGCTAAATCAATATTAAGTGCTTTGCCGCTCACAAGTAACGATGCCGGGAGGTAATGATTTCCTGCTTTTGTAATTGCGGTGCATCTGCATAATCACGCTGCTATCAGGTGTAATGATATGCCAGGAACAGTCTTCCACGTTACTCGATTGCCTGATAATTTATAATAAATTCAGAGGCCAATGAAATATCCTGTTTGTACAGACACGACATCCTTTTATGTAACATGCAACGAAAGAAAAAAGATACTTAATAAAATGCCAGGATGTTTTCTGAATGCCAATATGCATGTCACAAGGAACATTTACTGGAACACATCGCTGTGCCTCAGAAGTGGTGAAGTCAGTGCAAGACCTGTCAGAAATACCGTGATCACCTAGGTAGCGATTCGATGAAGACTTAAAATGTTAACATTTCTAAGTGATTACTAAATATCAAAGATGCTAATTACAAGCATCTCTGGACCATTCCGCAGGACTTGACCCCGCCTGGTACTACCTTCCCTTCTCGAAATGCTTTCTACCGCTCTGGCTTTCCTCTTACCTCTCCTGCTATTCGATTTTGGCCTTCTGGCTAGCAGCTTTTCTTTCCCATTGGATCCGGAAGGCCCTCAGGGTTTTTCTGAAGTCTTTCTCCTTTTTTCATTCTATATTCTTCCCCAAAGCACATCGACAACATAGCTTATTTATTACCTATGTGCACTTGATCCTTACCAAGTTAGGTACAGCCACTCTTTGAATATCCCTGAAACCCATTCTTGCTACTCCTGTACTTTCCAACCCCGCTACGACTCTGGTACCTGTCAGTGACCTATCACCGTAACAGCTCGCTAACAGGTCTAATGCGTCTCTCCTGGCTTCCCCTCAATCTCTCCTCAACACGAGAACCAAAATGATCTTATCCAAATGCAGATCTGGTCATAGTATCTTCTCCTTCACCCAGATCTTTAAACGGCCTTCTGTCATTCTCAGGAAGATGCCAAATGCCCTAGTGAGGGCCTGCGTGGTCCTGCAGCCAAGCTGGCTTCCCTGCTTCTCCAGTCTCATCTCATGCCATGCTTCTCTGGGCTCGCTGCACCACAACCACACCGTTTGCCGGGCACTCCAGACTCATGTTCCTCATCAAAGGGACTTTGCAGTTGCTTTGCTGCCTACACAGGATGGTTCTCTTCTCATTACAGAGTTACTTTTGTCTCCATAGTTAGGCCTCAGCTCGAATGTTAGGCCTTAAAGCCTTTCTTTCACTGACTATGCCAAGTATCCTCACTGGGCTCTCTTACACAATACTAGTATCCCAAAATGCATGTATTAAAATCTGGTGAGCCATTGTAATGGTATTGAGAGGTGAAGACTTAACCAACCATGATGTCAAAAGGGGCCTTTGGAAAATGCTTAGGCATCATGGTGGTGCCCCCATAACTGGGATACTTTGAATACTTGTGGGTTTATGCGAAGACCCAGACACATGCACCCCTGCCTTCCACCACGTGCTGGGGCAACAAGAGCCCCCTTGCCAGATGCTGGGACTATGGTCATAGACTCCCCACTCTCCAAAACCATGAGCTCCGTCCACCTCTGTCCTCCTAGATTACCCAGACTCAGCTACTTCTGTTATTAACAACAAAATGGACTAGAACAATACCTGTCACCGTTTCTGTTTTCCACTTTTTAAAGTTTATTTCTTTCTCCCATGAACAAGACAAAGAGAGAGACAGGCATCCTCACAGGGTCTCATGTCATGACCCATCCCACCCTCCACCAGCACATGCTGTGTTCCATTCTAGCCTCAGCCAGACTAGACTGGGGGCATGGGTATGCACAGGTGACCACAGAGGACTCGGGGCTCAAACCTAGAACCCTCTCTTGCAGTCAGCCTTACAGAGTGTCGTGTTATCACACTCCCAATGTTTGAACCCCTTGTCATAGCTTTCATTCCACATTTGCTTATATGATTATTCAATAATCATCTATTTCCCTGTAAGTTGTAAGCAGGAATCCCAGCCTTGCTTACCATCATTGCCCTATTGTCTAACACTGTACTTCTCATGAAAACATTGAAATTCATAAATGAGGTATCTAACTCAACACAATTACTGGGAAAAAAAAAAAACTAATAAACTACTGTTGGACTCTTGGTACCCATGGGGCCAGCAGGTGGTATGCATAGTTATGGCTTAGACTCCTACATGGCTGACTGTAGTTTGAGTTCTGGATTTGCTGGCTTCAAAATCATGCTGAGCACATGTGTGAGCATACCCAAAATCCTGAGAGGAGAAGGGACTGTGGCGTAGCCATCCCCAAAGGGGTGCTTTCTCACTTTCCCACTCACTGTATCTCTCCAGCCAATGCACATGCCCTATGGCAAAAACATGAAAAAAAAAAAAAAAAAAGGAATATTGGTGCCCCACGGATAAAGAGAGAAAATACCAAGATACCAGACTACTTTTCTACTATAGCGGAAAAGAAGAACTGACATTACTTCATGACCTCAAGATCTTCTAAAATAGGCTCTGAAAAGAAAAATATGAAAATAAACTTATGTACAAATTGGATGCTTACCCGCTGTCGGTGAACAGAAACTCCAAATGGGTCATAAACACCTCCCAGCGGGAGACACCGTAACGTTGTGCCAGAGAAAGAGCAATGTTGTAGACGTTCTCCTCCAGGGTTCTTCAGGGACGCCCACCAGGCACGGGGAAGGGAGAGAAGAGAAACGCGTTACCCTCATCTGCAAAGAAAATGCTCCTCACAACTGCTTTCTGGCTGAAAGGGAAGTCAGTCTATCCTTAACAAGACACATCACAGTAATTAAGGGAATTCCAAGGCAGTTCCAAGGATTTCGAATGTGGTGCATAATTGGGGCCAGCAGGTGGCATGGTGGTTAGGGTGCTGGACACTCCCACACGGCCGACAATGCTTTAAGTCCCAGACCTGGTGGCTAGTTTTCTCACTTTCCCTCTCTCTGTCTCTCTCTCTGGTAAAATTAAAATAAATAAATAAATAATATTAAATAAATATTTCTTTAAAAAAAAAAAAGTCCTTGGTGCAATTCGCCAAGGACTTGTCCAGATCAGGAGTTCACAGCTGTGGTGGTTTCGTCCCCAGAGGACATCTGGCATTGTCTGCAAACACTCTGGTTGCCACAAGTAAAGGGAGGGGATGTAACTGGCATCGAGTGGGCAGAGGCCAAGGGAGCTGCTGACCATCCTATAATGCACGAGGAGGTCCTCCCACGACAAAGAGCTACCCAGTCTCAATCTCAATCATGCTGAAGTTGAAAAAACTCTAGACTTTCGAGCCTCAAGTCAAAAAAATACTGTCTCCTACCCTTTGCATAGATATTTGAGAAAATTCTCAACGAAACTTCATGCTTTGTACATTGGGCCAGGTTTGCTGTAGCTGCTTAGAATATAAAAACACACACGAGATATTTCCTGAGGAATTCGCAGCCTAGCAGAGACTGTGAGATGTGACGCAGTAATTAACTACAGTGGCTGCAGTGCTCAGAGAGAGGACTACAAAGTTCTGTGAAAAGAGAGCTGAGAGTGACCTTCAGGTTAAAGGACAAACAAGCAACACCTAAGCAGAGGTGTTCAAGGGGACAAGAGGACCACCTGTAGTGGGGGGAGGGAGAGGGACACGATGCAATTCTGGAGCCATGTGGGGAGGCCCTGGCTTGGTTCAGGGTCAGCCTGAACAAACTGAGTACGTCGGCAGGTACACCTGTGATGCTGACTATCTGGCAGGCTGAGGGTGTGGGACTGCAGCATGGCAAGACCTTGTCTGTGGTCCCTGACTGTCTGTCTGTCTCCAATCTCTCTTGCTCTCTCATGAAATAAGTTTTTTAAAAAAGAGGGAGAAGAGACAGCTGGGCTAATAGATGTGCAAAAGGGGAGGAAGGCAGTGTCACAGCTAAATTCCAAGAAAGCTCAGGGAGGGTCACTGGCCCTGCTAAGGGACCTGCACCTTATTCTGGAGTCAGCAGAAGGCTTATCCAGGAATGGCATCTCCGTTTGAGAATTTGAGAATTTCTAGCTATAAAAGAACAGTCCAGAGTAGTCGCATTCAGGCCAAATTTTAGAAAGACCGTAACAGGACCCCTATTTTTCAGAAGTGAAAAAATGTAGGATGAAATTCTTTGTTGGCAAAAATAGTGTGGGCAAACCCACAGAAGCAGAAATGCAGTCTCAGTTATTCAGTAACACGGCTAAGACTAGATTTACCTTAGCTAAGGAGACTGTGGCATCTACGCGTGTATCTGGCTAGGACTGGCCAAGAAGTGTTTCCTACAGAGGGCCACAGAGTCAGTATTTCAGGCACTACTACAGACAGTCTTTGGTGGCGTTTCTGTCTTCCCACAAGCCTGGGAAGATAAAAATATGTGAAAACAAATTCTTTGCTCATGAGTTACAAAAGGGGGATGAGAGCTGGATTAAGGTTGGCGATCCATCGATTAGGTCACTGTCAATTAGGAATCATTCTTTCAAGTATTTATTGAGTACCTACTTGCAGATAATGGGATGGGAATCTCTTGAAAACACGGACCATTACTAATTCATCTTTTCTATGGTGGGAGCTCAGTGTAGTGCCTGGCACATGCTCGGTGAATACCGGGGTCTTATCACTTGGTAAAGGCAGCAGAGAACCAAACCAGGTTATACCCTTTTCAAAACTGTCCTGCCTGACCTCTGAGAATGTATTACCCAAGACATACTGACAGTAAAGGACAGATAAAATGCACTCAGAAAACAAATGCCATTAGCAAGGATTACGAAGAGGAAGGAAATGAAGAACAGTCACGGCGTATACGAGGGCAGAGCCATGAAATGGCAGGACGCAGGTCCTTCAAGGACCCGATATGCAGACACCGAAATCTTTTCTCCAGATCAGAACTGTCAAAGCAGCACACTCATGAAAACTTGGAGGCATTTTAAACAAGCCATCCGAAGACTGCTGTACATTTTTCTAAGCAACAGATTGTACAGAAGAGTCTATTACATATTTATCAAAAGCATGTATTTGTCCTCTAGGACATACTTCACATAGCATATGCTAGCTGCATACTTAAAAAAGAAAATAAAGGACAAAAACACTAGCAAAATGTAACTTAGGACAGAAGGCCTGCCTCACCTCATAAAATTTTATTCTGCATAATAACCCTGTTCTGAGATACCAGGAACATGGCACCAAGGGTCACAAAACGCCAAAAGGAAAAGCAGACTGGACTTGGAATTAGGAAGCTAGGCTCAATTCCTGGTTGTGTAATCTTGTAATCTAAAGCTCTCTGGTTCTCGATGCCTCCTCCAAAAAGTGAGGAGGCTGGATTAGAGGATCTCTTAGGTCACTTTCAAACTGGCCGTTAAATTACTATGAAGTTATGGATTTCCAGGAGGGCATGGGGGAAGAGAAAAAATCTTCCGTACTTCTCTTTTAACTGAGACCAGCTCTGGATTGCTCCTCCTAGCTTTCTTTTGCTCTGTCTATGTCCCATCTGACTCTAAGGAAACTGTAGGATGTCACCCAGGAGGAAAGAAGTCTGGACGAATATAAAATTATCAAAGGATCCCAAGGTCACTTTTCCACTTTGTTGAGAATTTAAATGTTAATGATGAAAAATAACCGATGGCACTACTACAATAGAGACTCTGCTATTTTAGAGTAATTTGTTAGGGGAGAGGAATAACCATTAAACGGAGGTACCACTTAACCTTAGTCTCAAGGGGCAGGAAGCCTAGACCAGACTGGATGTCAGTGCTTCTTGGAGGACTCGGTGGGCTGTGGAAAAGGTGTGATGGCTTCAACGTGGGGCAAATCCATATGGAATTGTAGTTGGTCCTTACCGCAAAATATAAGCCTGGGTCAGTTACTTAATAACCCTATGCATCAATTTTCTAAGCTATAAAATAGAGTTAACATTTTATTTCCTACTTTGAGGATTAAAAGATGTCAGTAAGATAGGAATCAGCAGGTGGTATAGTGGTTAAGGTGCTGGACTCTCACATGGCCAACCACGGTTCAAGTCCTAGACCTGGTGGTTTGCTTTCTCACTTTCCACCTCTCTCTCTGGTGAGCACACAAGCCCTATAGCAAATTAAAAAATAATAATGATAAGTAAAAAATAAATAAATAATTTCAAAAAGATGTCAGTAAAATAAAGTTTGCAGATCATCTTACACAGCACTTTGGCTATGGCAAGCATTCAACAAGTTGTGGTGTTACAAACAAAACATCTCTACGTAATAACCATGTGGGCTTCCCTCCTTCTGACACATGAGTACTTATTACCCAATTTAACTAAAACAAAGAGCAGACGCCAGGATTAAAATCAAAGGGAAAACCAACTGGGCCTTGAACTATCCTGCCATCTCATAAAGGGCCTGCTCATCCCTGGAAAAGGCAAAGGAGGGAAGGAAAAAATGGCAGCTCCTACTTGCCTCTGACAGAGATCACTCAAGCTAGACCACGGTTCAAGTCCTAGACCTGGTGGTTTGCTTTCTCACTTTCCACCTCTCTCTCTGGTGAGCACACAAGCCCTATAGCAAATTAAAAAATAATAATGATAAGTAAAAAATAAATAAATAATTTCAAAAAGATGTCAGTAAAATAAAGTTTGCAGATCATCTTACACAGCACTTTGGCTATGGCAAGCATTCAACAAGTTGTGGTGTTACAAACAAAACATCTCTACGTAATAACCATGTGGGCTTCCCTCCTTCTGACACATGAGTACTTATTACCCAATTTAACTAAAACAAAGAGCAGACGCCAGGATTAAAATCAAAGGGAAAACCAACTGGGCCTTGAACTATCCTGCCATCTCATAAAGGGCCTGCTCATCCCTGGAAAAGGCAAAGGAGGGAAGGAAAAAATGGCAGCTCCTACTTGCCTCTGACAGAGATCACTCAAGCTAGTTGGCTTCTCTTTGACTCGAAGGCCAGGACAGGTAAAGGAGCTCTGAACCTACAACACTGGGCCTTCCCTCCTCTCTGGTAGTGTCAACTCTATCAGATTTTCAATATACTGAAGAAATTAAACCATCATGTGCTTGGAAAAGTGAAATTCCAGTCAGGAATGAAACACAGTCTTACTTTTAAATTTCCATTAGAAGTTTCACACTTTTCACCCCTGCCATACCCTGTGAACTCTTCTGGGGTCTAATCGTAATACAGAGCTATCAAAATCACAGGAATCTTTAAGAAAATAAAGAAAAATTCCCAGTCCTAAATATTTAATTGTGTGGCCTTAAAATGTTGTCTGTGCCTACTGATCTGTTTGGGAAGACACACACATCCTTCGCAGGACTGGACAAAGTGGGAGAAATACCTGTTCATCAAACCATGAACAGAAACCTTCGGAAGACTGTGGGTAACAGTTCTGATGATCCAACCTGTCCTGCATTTTAAGCCTACCCCTTTAAGAGGCAAAGGTGGCCCTTACTCTGCCAGGCCAAGGATGGTTTCTCTTTTGTACTGGTCATCTGCTGTAAACCGCTGCACATCCACACCCTTCCGAAGGCCCTGCAGGATCTGAGCCTGAGTGAAATCCAGGAGACGTTCATTGTAGTAGTGTAACTGCTGGGTCAGCGAAACAAGGTCCTCGGGCCAGGCTTCCTGTCCATGTCGAGTGACATGCCTGGTAACCATCTTGATTAGCTCTTTGGGATCAGCCTGTGAAAGAAACAGAAAAATATATACTTTACAAACATACAGGTATGATCTGCTGGCATGGTGGGAAGGTGCTGGACTTCCACGTGGCCAAGCAGGGTCCAAGTCCTGAACCTGGCAGCTTGAAAACCACATCAGGTGCCTGTGCATGTGCATCCAGAAAGTCCAAGAAAATAAGGGGAGAGAAGGGACTGTGGCGTGGCCATATCGCCAGAGGGATGATTTCTCACTTTCCCTCTGTCTCTCTCTATCTGTCTTGGCAAGCGTACATGCCCTATGACAAAACCTAAAAAGGCAACCATGTCCCTGGGTACCTGTTTGGCCCTTTACACCGCTGCCATTCAGTCAAGGCTCCTCATTGCCCTGGGCAACCGTGGCAGTGGTGGCACGATACACCACACCCACCTCACAGGCCACACAGAGAAGACACCGAACCCATCTACGCACAGTTTCTGAACACCTGCTCTGCCCTTTCACCTAAAAAAAAGTACCACCCACTTTAAAAATATACATATTTTTGCTTTTTCAACTGCCATATGCCTACGTCAGATTTGTTTTCTAAACACCTGATCATTTACAATAATTCTCTCTGGAATTAATTTTCATCATCATCGATTATATATATTGTTCTCAATAAAAAAGTTGCAATTTCATAACCCCTGTATACATGGTTAGACAGTTGAAGGGCAAAATGTTTTTTCCAGGCATAATTTAGGCAATAATTAAAAAAAAAAAACCTAGCTCTATTCCTGAAATAATTAAACATTCCTAGTTATATAAGAAAGTATCCAAGCCTAATTTTTTACTCTGCTTAATATGGGGCTCAATGGGATATTGTTCTATGATTCCCAGCAGCTTCTCTAACAATACAATTATTCAAACAGAACAAAATCCAGAATCTAACAGCTGACAGGAAAGGAGAACAAGTGATTAACTGGCCACAGTTATTGATACCGAGGTTGGTCTGGGTGTCACCAAAGCAGAAGCAGCTCAGCCATGGTTTTCAAATTACTCAACAGGGAACAAATATTGAACAGCATTCACTCAATCAATCCCAATTTCTGGATGACACAGTGCATATTTCAATATAACCAAACTAGAGGGGAGAAACAGGAATCTACCTTAGGCTCTCAGAAACACACTCCTAATTATGGTAAGCTGTCAGCCTTTCTAATGTGGAAGCTGTTATTCTGAGCTACACAGGAGATTTGTCAATGTCGAGTCTATATTACCAAACCTGGCCTGACATTCTCTCTCTTGATCCTATTAAGGAACAATCTGGGAGTACTGATAAAAACCAATTAAAGAAATTTTCTTGGACTTCGGCAGGTGGATTTGAGTAAAAGTCAACCTTACTATATTTAATTTTCCCCCGATCTCTATGCATCCACTGAGTCCTGCTCTCAAAAATCACAGACATGTGTCTCTAGTCAAAAGACCTCAGCTGAATACTAACTTTCTTTCCCACTCTAATGACAATTCAGGTATCTTCCATTTAGTCAACAAATATTTTTTGTGCACCTCTTATAGACCAAGTGACGCTCTAAGAGATGTGACTCTTTCCTCCAGGAATGCAGTCAATTAGGAGACATGATCATGGAAACAACTATAAAAGGCAAAACCAAAATAAAACAAAACAAAAAAACAGGGAGACCAACCCCAGGAAAGGATTGTTGCGTATGTGCTAAGGTCTAGGTGGTTAAGGCCTGATGGAAAGTTGGAGTGAAAGAACCAACCCAGCTGCAGTTAGAGAGTCATAGGGAAACCAGCTTCAACTGGACGGTAATTCCAGCAATGGATTCAGGCAAAGGGGATCCCATGCCTCGGCTCTCGGTGTCAAATATCTATGGCAGAACTTAGCTCAGTCTCCTTTCAACCAGGGTACCGCCCTGAGCCTCCCACCAGGGGCACAGCTCCTGGGCTGGCCATCCTGTCTGCACCTGCTCTGCATTCTGGGACTGCACTCCTGGCACCTGACCCTCTCAGCACCTGTCTGCCCCCTTATAGAGAAAGCAAGACCAGGTATCCAATGGGAGGGTTTCAGGTGCCAGGAGAGCTCTTTCTAGTTATCCTTTGATGTAGCTCCAACTGCCTGAGTTTGCACTCTTCCCCAAAGCCACATTCACTGAAACAATGGAGAGGGCTTTCCTTCAATTCACTCTCACCCTGTGCTTGCAGGCTAAAGTTCTCAGCCTAAACTTGCCCATTGCACTTGGAAGGAATGGCTACAGCCATCCAAGCCATCTCTGTGTATAACTCCATGCCCCAACCTCTACCAAGTTACTGTATCGACCTCCTATGCATGGAATCAACCACCTTTATTTTCCGGACTTTTTTTTTCCCCCCTCCTGAAACTTAGCTTTTGACTTTTTATTTTTTGGCACCTCCACAATTTAGAACATGTACTGGGAGAGTAGCTTACACACTTTTCACCTAGCCTCAACAGTATAAAACCTCCTCCTTTCTATTCTCAGTGTATTTTAATGCACCGTATGAAACCAGTTCCCAGGTCAGGTGGAGAGCACAGCTCCCACATGGCAGCACAGGGCGATAAGGAACAGAACCACTCCTATCAGCACTTACACAGGTTCTTAATTATCCTGCAGAAAGTTTCAAGTCTCCACATACAGCCTGTATATTCACATGTGGCAAAAAAGAATGCATTATCTCCCAAAACAGAATACATTATTTCCCAAAGAAAAAATGACACAGCACAGTGACATGAGCAGACACACAAACTTACTAGCTGGATGACCTTGTGCAAGATACTATGGACTTCAATGTCTCATCTACAAAATGGCAGTAATAACAGAGTTTTCAGGACTGTGAGAAGCCTAAGAGAAAGTATACATAAAATATATAAACCAAAACCTGGCATGAAGCAGGTGCTCTGGAAAGAAAAGGAACTATGTCTTTTCCAGAGCACAGTAGGGCCTCTTGATTAAATCAGGTGCACAGTTTAAAAAACCAGGCACACTGGTTGGTGCTGCTGGCATGGTGGTTAAGGTGCTGGACTCCCACATGGCTGACTGCAGTTTGAGTCTTGGACCTGGTGGCTTGTTTTCTTTCTTTCTCTCTCTCTCTCTCTCTCTGTCTCTTTATAGTGAGCACAGTGCACTACACTACAGCAAATTAAAATAATAATGACAAATGAAATGAATAATTCTTTTTAAAAAAGAGGCACGCTGAGCTGGCTTTGAAGTCACTAGCACTAGTTTACATTTCAGCTCCCTCAGTAAAGATGTCCTTTGAACAAGTTACTTCATGACTGTCCCTTGGCCTGGGAAAACACGCCCTCCTCATGGCTTGCTGGAGAAGTACACACGAAATAGGATACTTTAAAGCACTCATTTCTCTGTTATTATATGAAAGCAAACCGGACCCAGTTTACTCTAGGAAGTAAAAACCAATGATGGACAAGCATGCACACACAGCAACGTGTCAAGATGGCATCCGGATATAAGAACCATCGCAGGATCACAAGCCCAGGCTTCTGGGAACTCCATGGAAGGAGCAATTGATTCTCTCTCGATTTTTCTGGGACTCAGTTTCTTTCGATGTAAAACCAGATGACCACCTCCCTAAGACTAACATCTTACAAATTTTCAAGAATTCAGCCATTAAAAATACAACAAGTCTTTGGAAAGCCCTCCAGAGAGGATCTGGGAAAGCCTTACATCTCTCATTTATGCCTCCACTAAACATGCAGAACAGATTTCTTTGCTAAAAAGTCTAATTTCAGACCAACACATTTTAGCCAACAGATCCCTTTACCATTTAAGCGTCTTTACGCTCCTTCACTAAGTAGAAAGTATATAGTCCCTCTGTGAGTAATTTTTTATTTTCTATTCTTTGCACATCAGATTTATTCACTTTTCCTAAGAAATATTTAAGGATGAAAATCTAATATTGGAGTCTTTGGGATGGAGCAGGCTTAGTGCTAACATACTGTACTGCCTTCCATTTAACACCGACAACCCTGCAGTGCAGTGTCTCCTAGCATCACCTCTCTTCTAAAGATGGATAAGGAGTTACATAACTTACATAAGGCCGTGAAGCTGGAAAGAGGGAAAGCAGGGATACAACACCCACACATGCCTCCCATTAACCATCCTTTTATATTTGTACGCAGAGAGGGGTAGCTCTTAAAATTATAAGCCTCTTGATTGGACTAGTGTCTATGCAGCTTCCACTAAACGTAGGTAACATTTGTTATTAGAATCCTTTCACAAATGATCAACTTTGAATGATGGATTTCAATGTTATTCTATATGATCCCAGGTAGGAGTTTTCCCCACACATACATACATTCTTCTTTCCAGTGTGTGTGTGTGTGTGTGTAAATACAAATGCTCACAGAGGACACAAAGGTAGGCACTCAACTAAGTATGAGATCTGAGCTATATTTCCAAGCTTCTTGTCATTTCTCCTCTAATAATAGAGTGTTTTAGAATCGTGATCAAGAACACCATTTTCTACTCAACTCCCTGGTATCAGTATATCACCTTTTAAATGCATGTCTTGGCTCTATGGTCGGATCCAATGTGGCTGACTGTACTATTGAGTCCAGGACCCAGTGGCTTGCGAAACAAGCTGGGTGTGTGCACATGTGTGCCCAAAGTTCCCAAATGAGGGGGAGAGAGTAGAGGAATTGTGACATGACCATTTTCCTCTTCCTTTCTGCCTTTCCTCCCTCTTCTCTCTTTCTTCCTCCCTCCCTTCCTCCTCCTCTCCCATCTTTCCTTCCCTCTCTTCCTTTTTTCCAAGCATATGCATCCTCTAGAGTCACCCCTAAAGTGTGTCTTAATAAAGTGGTCAATAGGGGCATTCTATTAATTCCTTGATGATGGGTTTCTAAGTGTCTACAAGCTATGGGTCATCAGACATTTGTTAAGTGTACAGATAGATTTTCAACACTTCAATTTATGGTGTAAAGCATAATGCTAATAAGAAGAGACAATATCTTACAAAGGCTTCCAAGAAAAAAAAATATATATGGAGGA